ACAGTGCAGGGGGAAGGGAGAAAAAAGAAAAGAAAAGTCTAGCGACAGCCTGACTGAGAGGCAGGTAACTGCAGCTAGTGAAACTCCCAGAGCCAACCAGGCGGAGCCGGAGAGACGACAGAACACTGATCCCTGACGGTGACCTAAGCGTACTAGGCAGAGATAGGGGGTTCTCGGAAAAGTTGAGCGATCGTAAAGTTAAAAGGCAGAGATCAAGTAAGCAGCAGTCAAACTGTGTTGATGGACAACAGATCTGCCACGAAACGCTCGTATGTTGGCCAATCCAGGACGGGATGGTGTGAGTGGCGATCCTGTCGTAACGGATAATGTGCCCCGGAGTACTGGGTGCGGATGAACAGGTGAGGAAAGGGTTTAAAAAAAGAAACGAGAGATCAAAAAAAGAAAAGGGCCGATCTCAAATAGATTGGGGGTGGGAGGCAAAGAGAAAAAGTACGGGAATAGAGGAGGCTCGAGAGACAGAGAGACAGAGAGAGGGAGAGAGAGAAAGAGAACGGTCTGGAGAAACGGGATGATAGATCGATCGTTGTTTGGTGGGAGGGGAGGACAGCGGCGACAGGACAAGAAAGATCGGCGGTAACAGGACGATCAAACAAGACGGATGGAATGTCGGATCAGATATGAATGAGGGGTGTTGAGAGAGTAGTAGAAGATGATGATGATGAAAGGGGGATGGAAGAAAAAGAAAGGGAGGGAGGATTAGGGGGGCTGAGTGGATGGTGGAGGGAGTGGTGGTGAATGAGCAGGAAGGCGAGAGAGCCGAGGAAGAGATTGATAATAGAGGCAGGAAGTGGGTAAGTATGGAAATGGATGGTGGTGGTGGTGATGATGATGATGATGAAGGTGAGGGTGACCAGATAACCACGGGCCAGACCTTTTTCGGACGGTTCTGTCATGAGACGGGCAAATAGAAAGTACCAGATTACTTACCAACACGCCTCTCGGTCTGTTTTTTTCACTCAACTATTTTTAATGCGTTCTCGTTTTCATCTTTTTTGGGATGCCTTTGCCTTTTCTTTTTGGGTTTTCTTTAATTCAATTTTTTTTCTTTTTTTCCCCTCCCTTCGCTTCTTCGCGTGCTCTGTCGGTCTGTCAACTTTTCCCAGCAGTATGGTCTTTTTGCTTATCAGGCAGCCCTTTCTGTTATCGATCTCCCAGGGGGATCTACGACCGGGGGCTATTCCTTTTCCTTCTTCTCGTCAGGGTTTTGCTTTTTCCTACTCTGCAATCTGTAGTTTCAAACCGATAGTTTGACACAGTAAAAGTCTGAAAGTCTCTAAACTTCGTTTATCTTCTATTTTTCCATCCGCTAAGGAAAGGTGTGGACAGAATTTTTGCGCGTGAGAGCTCGGTCGCGCAGTTCCCTCACCCTTTTTTTTTCCCTCTTTGCTGGCCAATTCCCATCCCATTTGCCTACGGCCTCCCCAGATCGAATCTCCCGGGCTCCACCGATTCCTATTCTGGTTTAGTAAACTGGGTCTAAGGGGCACTGCGCCTTCCCGAATCGTCCGTAGCGTGTCCGTTCACGAATAAGCGTTATTCATCAGCCTATCATTGGCGAACCAAATCCTGGCGCTTCAGTCAGCGGCATTCTAGGCAACCACATTGGCTGCTTCGGAGATTCTATCACGATATCCCGAGCTTCCATGCTCCGCTCCGATGGTCACACTATGCACTCTTTCGTTCGGTAGTCGGCCATAATGAAGCACCGCCCTAGTGGTGCTAGCTGTTGGACTAGGTAACCAGACTGCATAAGATGAGCCCGAAGAGTCCCACTGGTCCCTATTTGGGACAATGTGGAAGCCCGTAAGGCTACTGCCTAAGCACACCGGAACAGGTTGTTATCTCTCCGACGGGCGGGCTGACGAAAGAGCCCGGTTTGATCTATCTCGCTCATGTGATTGGATTCTTACCCACCCATAACTGACAGCAACAACAACAACAACACCAAAGTACCTCTCTTTATTTTCCCCTTCCGGATTGCCGATTCGCCCTGGCGTATGTAAACCATCATCTTCTAGACTTTTCATAACCTTCCGACACTGGCTGCACAAGGCGCAAGGCGCAAGGCGCAGCTGCGTCTGACTTTTTGACACTCTGACACGCCTCCTCTTTTTTCTACTTCTCCCCCTTCCCTGTTCCCACTCTTCTAAGCATGCCCACCGGATGGATCTGATAGGTAACATTCACAATAATTGGATGGTTGGATGATTGGATACTGAAGATGAGAGGAGAGGCGAAAGAGGGGGGGCCGAAAGTATCCATCCCAAACGCCGACCTCCTTATCGAAACGTTCGCTTATTTTGTCTCTCAACTTTCGGAAATAATCTATTTCTGACCGTTCTACGGAGAAGTAAACTATCCTAAAAATCCATCTCCAATCCTCCGTACGGAGTACTCCGTAGTACTGTTAGTTACAATCAATCAATCAACCAAATCCAGCCGACTCATCCGACCTATCTAACCATGTATCAACTCTAGCCTGTTAACCAAGTAATCAATCAATCAAATCAAATCAACCAACAGAATCAACTTAATCAAGCGCCACTAAGTACATACGTAGGTTAGTAGCCCACCACCCCCTTAGTCGATCGTGGCGTGATGTATGACCCCGATAACCTGACCACACTCCCCTCCCCTCTCCTCTCTCTCCCTACCCCCAGCCCGGCACAAAAATGGATACGATTATGATATGATATGATATGATGTGAGATGGATATGATATGATCACAGCAGACTACTACGCTACTACCTAGTACACCTACCTACCAGGCTTACTACTACTTACTTACTTACCCAATACCGGTAAAGTTCCTAACCGATAACGCTAAAATCGGCAACCTGCGTCGATTTAGGTTTCGACACACCCTTTTTCTTTCTTTTGCCCATCACCCATCACCCACACCCCCCCCTCCCCTCATCAACGCGGATTCTAATTTGCCGCCCTACACCGACTCGGGGGTTCCAACGCGCGGAAGTTCCGCAACTCCGGGATAACCACTAAAAAAAGGAAAAATATAGATACTTGTTGGGAGGGTATCTAATTAATGCTGCATAAGTGTATGTGTCTGTGTGTATGTGATGACGACCATCACATACATACATGCATACATACCTACATAGTACATACATTGTCTACGCCACGAAATGGGAAATTCATCGTCGAGTTATTTTGCCCTGCGTAACGTAAATCAATATAAAACCTCCCGGATATGGTCGGAAATGAATACTATTCGTCTGAGCGTGTCGCTTAGAATGTATACGAATGTTCACTTTGTCGGTTGTTGCTTTCGAGTCAAAAGGAAGGAGGGAGCGAGCAAAGCGAGCAAATAACTCAGACCCCCTTCTCGCAAGGTGAGGCTGATTCTGGATCGATCCGTTGATTGATAAGTCGATATCGATTTCTTGGCAGGGCTTGGCAAGGGGCTTGGCGGTTATAGCTGTGGACGGAATTCTTGAACGAGGCGCGCGCGCGCGCGGATTTTGACTAGGCAGTCGGGGCTCGGGAGTCGGGCTCGGGAGTAACGGTTTACGCTACGATTAGGTTGATCTTGCGCGTTAGAATAGTGGAGGATGGGAGGGGGAAGGGGCAACGACAGCTGCAGTGATAGGCTCGCTTTGTGTGAGGTTCTACTGTCTAGTGTCTGGTCTGGATCAGTTGGTATTGGGCGAGGCATACGACAGGTGGGTATTTTCGTTCCTCGATGATTGGTATGCATTGATAAACCGAGGAAATTTTTTTTATCTGATTCAATAGAACATTCCACAAGAGGAAGGGGGGCGTGTCCTCAACAAGTGACAGAAAAGCCGAAAACATAGCCCCGTGACTCGAGTGGGACGGCGCAGAAGTTTACCGCATCCGGAACGAACACACAACGGCCCCATCTTGATAATCAATCGACCTGGATAGGGTGAAGAAAAGGCCCATCTGTAACAAGATTTGAAATCGCTTATCTCCGAGCTGGGGTAATCACCATCTCCGAATTCTGGGACCGGAAGATCAAACCGAACCGGCCGCTCGTGCTTGTTGGTGTCAAACGTTCCTATGGAGCAGGTTTGCCCGAGGCGATCTTTGAGTTGTTTTGAAGCCCACGCCACGCCCCCTTGGTCTACTTTCTACGTGTGGGGGCGTGGGATGGAATGGCTTAGTTCTGGACTTGATCGAGCTAGTTCGAGTAGTTTGCATGTTGCCTGAGCGGCAAGCCGGATCAGATAACTCTACCCACACATGCTTAGCATGGGACTGTCCGTGGTGGCTGTCGTCGGAGAAGACGAGTCCATGTGTTCCTTGTCCCACATGGGTAGCTTTAAGACGGCGGGACGCCGCTGTTGTGGTGCTGTAGCATCGCTAACTAGTACTCAGTTTGTATACTGTAGTGCTTGGCCATGATAGGCGATTCATGTGGTGTGATGTTCGTCTCAACACCGGATATACTGACTTACTAGCTGTTATCACGCCACGCGGCCATATCTGGACTTGCGAGTCCACGTCAGACTTCGGCTTAGGATTTATTATATATCATCTACTACTTATTATACACAACTAATGGGCATGAAACAGCGCCATCCGGTACGAACGGACCACTGGCCCCACAGGACAGCCTAGGCCTTTAAAATTCTCCAATGCAAACATCCACCATTTGAGAAAAAGAAAAAAAAGATAACGTGATGTAGAATGATTCGGTGTCATCTTCTGGCCGGATAACCCGGCCCAAACCTGATCCTTTTGTCTTTGCAACCACCATCACTTGAATCATCGCTGAGAATCAATCATCGCGCTCGTCGATCATCAAACATCGCATAAGAGTTATTTTCGCTTTCCCTGACTCTCACTCGTGCTTCGAACGCCTCGTTTGCAGTCACGGTGTCTTGTTGTACTTGTCAGCGAGAGGGATCGCAGACGATAACCAACTCTGAAAACACAAAGGATTATGCGTCATACATCATCACTCCGTTAACAAAGAACAGACTTTACACCTCGTTTAGACCTGCTCGGCGCCCCAACCCTGGTCGTTCTCACGCATGTTGGAAGGGGGCTCGATGGACGGAATGAACTCCAGGGCGAGGTAGCCCAGGCCGATGAATCCGATGATGGAGCCGGCAATGTACCGCAAAACGTGATCGTGCAGCAGGATACATCCAACGAAGATGTAGACTACGCAAGTGGTCAACTCATTAGCAGGGGTCTACGGCGATCACGGATAGTGTAACTTACAAGCACCACGTCCCAGGAAGGAGAAGAGGAAGGACGCGTAGCGGTAAACGTAATCGGGAACGTTGGGCAGGAATTCCAATCCACCGACAACTAAGGCCATAGTGTAAGTATGCTGTCAGATGCGCTATACTGCTGCCTGATCCGAGACTTACTGAGACCAAAGAGAATCACGTAGATGCCGACGATGATGGAGCTCATAGACGGAGGGAAGAACTGCGAGATACCACCGAGGACCATCAACACGCCGACGGCGATGTTAACAATTCGACTGCAGGTGTTGACGTTAGAGCACATTCCACCAAAACTACATGCGAGGCGAGGCCATCGTCGACGTACAAGATGTTAGAAAGATCCATTTTGGTAAGTGTTGAGGCCTAAAGAGCTCTTCCTGCTAATATGCCGGTCGTCGAGATATAGATAGGGCGTTCAATGACGAAGATTGAGTATCGGAACGGGTAGAAAGGGGAGAAATCCTGTAGATCAACTGCGTTAGCCGGTTCATTCAAGAGGATGAGACCAACGCCGGATTGGGCTCCGGCAGGCCAGCCATAACAGCTACGTCAGCTATGGTCGCGCGAGTGACGGCCACTCCAAGGGATTGTGGGCAGCATAATAATGCAGCCAGGGGATGGAAGCTCACCTTGAAAGCCAAGCTTCTTTGACAGATACGAGTTGGAAGGAAGAGGGCGGAAGGGAAATCAAGGAGATGGAGAGGCTCAAGCATCAGTTGTCGCGCTGTCGCAAGCAGCGGGTCTGCCAAGCCGCTGAGTAGATGACTCAGCAGGTCTCGTCTCCGGAGCGCCCGCAAATACGCGAGATGAAAGACCCATTTCAGCTACTATTTCTGGATGTGCGAGGATGACTATTCTACAAGGAGCTTGTATGCGGCATTGAGGTCAGGAGAAGGGGCCAGATGCACTCGACGAATATCATACAATTTTTTTGTTTGTCCCCATTGTCTCTGGAAAGACATGTGCAGACTCATTGATCACGAGGGCCACTCATACGTCATATCTGATAGGCAGCTACGATCTGTCAAGGTATGACAGCTGTTGACGGGCATACTTTGCTTCGAACAGATGCCTGACGGACTCCCAAACATGTAACAGTGCCAGAAAGCCCTACACTAGCTCTTTAGATCGCCTTGAGATCACCTTGCCTCTTCTCCAGTCGCACAGCCGACAATCCATTGGCTAGTCGGCTCATATTCATGGCGTCGCGTCCTAAATCGGCGTAGATAGCGTCCAAATCCGTACCAAGACCGACATTATCAGCAGTTTCCAAACTGCGCCCATCAATGAAAGGTGCAAGGGAAGGCCACACAGCCTGGGCATTGTTGAAAAAGAGGTCTACGCCCAGGTCGCCAAGTCCTTTGATCTCCTTGATCAACTTTCTCGTTTCGTCTCGGTCGTTATGGGCTTTCTTCAGGAGATTGTTAAGATCACCATCTGCAATATGCAGTCAGTCACCGGCCAAAATCTTACATGACGCATTCCTGGCGTGAAACACACGTACCGTACTTCTCATTGACGAACTCTGCCAAATCGCCTAGATTCGTTGCACCTTGCTCCCGATAGCGATTATATCCCCCATCCTTGAGAACCATAGTTCTCTCCTCCCAGCTGCTCTCCCCTAGTTTCCGTATATCATGATACCCGACCTCGATAAGCTTATTGACTGCACGCTGTGTCAGGTCGTGCGAGATGGGGCGCGACTTCAGCATCGCGTCCATGACCATAGCAAGTAGAGTATCCGGAGAGCTCTCCAGGCCTTTCTCTGCGATTTCGGTGCCATACAAAGGCGGGCGACCAAATTCCTTGACGACCTTTTGCAGTTTGGGCTTGTTTGATGCACTTTCTGCTGCTTCTTCGTTGTCTTCCTCGCCTTCTGCGTCCTCATCTTCTTCCTCTTCACCACCTTGCTCTTTCACAAGGTCGACGTTCTCGTCATCTGCCTCATCGTATTCTTCCTCTTCATCAAGTTCTTCGTTGTCTTCCTCGTCCTCTTCCTCGAAGTCTTCGTCCTTATACCCGGAGTCCTCCTGGATCAAGTCATCTTCTTCGGCAGTGTTTGCAGCTGACTTGGACGCTTTGGTAGGCGGCTGCTCTTTCTCTACCTCGAGACTCCCTTCACCGGTGTCGACACCAGGGTCTCTCTGGTCGAGCTTGCGCTTGGGGGCATCAGCTGCGTCGGTTTCGCTTTCGACCTGGGGCGACTTGTACTTCATCTTGGCGAGAAGCTACTAAAATGTGAACGTGATGGAATTGGCGTATATCACAATGAGAATTATTTATTTTATGGTGCAATTGAGTTGAGATACCGTGAGTTGTTGTAGTAGAAAGTTTTGATTGATTAGTTGTCTGGGGTAGATAGTAAATGGGCTTCTCCGCGGCTATGGCGTCATGATGAATTCAGACGCTATGCCCGTCATTTATGGCTGAATTGAAACAGTTCTTGCATGTAACGTACCAGTAACCAGAGCGAAAAAACTATGCTTCTTAAAGTTAACGTGCTAAACTTTATAGTTTGCCCCAAGATAAAATGCTATGTCTGAGTCTACAGCTTCGCTTTATCCTTTCGGCGCAACGTTTCCTGGACCAGCTTCACAGCATCCTCCGCACATCCAAATGAAGCTTGATACCCAAAGCCACCATGGCCATAGTTATGCACAACAGACACACCGTCGACCTTCTCCGCTTCAATACGCGGCCCGCCCTCACGGAGGGGGCGCAATCCAACGCCATGTCTGATGATATCCAGACCTTCGATGCCCTGTCCCTTCTCGACCAGCTCCGGGCATAGAGCGATTGCCCGCTTCATGATCCGGACAGCCAAATTGGGATCAGGCAGCGGATCCCACTGGTTCTTTTGATACGAACCTCCAATGACAGTTCCACCACCCGCTGCACGGGTCATCATGTAAACAACCTCATCCTCGCCATCGTCGGTGCCAGAAATAGACACCATCTTACCAGGGTCATTACGCACGACGACAATCTGACCGCGTGCAGGGTAGAGCTTGTCATCGAGTACACCGCCCAACTTCTTCGACGAGAGTCCGGTGCAATTGACAACCACATCGGCCTTTTGGCCGGTGTGGTGGCCCTTTGCTGCGTCTGCTACGTGCTTGAGAACGGCCCGTTTGAAAACGACGCCGTTTTTCCGGCACTGGCCCACTAGCCAAGGCAGGTAGACAGCGGTGTTGATGCACACTGATGTGAATTTGGATGCGTTGTCAATGCCGGGGGCTAGCTGGTCGGCGGGGATATCTTGGAACTTGATGAGGTCAGGAAAGTGGTCGATGAGGGAGAGTATGGGTGTACGCACGTCAGGAACAACTTCCATATACCACGGGTCTTTTTGCACCAGTTCGGAGAACCATTCTCCTGTTGCTGATCCCTGATCCTTTGTACGATTATAAACAATAGTTTCTGATGGGATATGATTAGTAGAAGTCGTCAATGAGAGCTTGGAGCGTACCTTGGAAGTGAATGCCCGCTTCGGGGTGGTTCTTCGTGAGCTCCCTCAGGGTGGGCCAGGTGTTTCGTTCCCATCTCTCATGGTCGCTTCCGGCCTTGCCCACACTTTGAGAGAAGTTCTTGCATTAGTCTTCGATACGGGTAGTGAGATGCACAGCTGAGGGCCTACCCTTGGAGGACATACGGAAGATAGTTGGCACCAGCCCAGGGAGAAGTATACTCGATGTCATAATCACCAGGCATGTGCTTGGCCAGAACAGTAATGCTGTTAGAGGCATCTTGGGACAGCAGATATGCGGTGGTGAGACCGGAGACACCAGCCCTGATGATTCTCGAAATCAGCATACGCTGGTGACATGTGAGCTTGCGGGGAAGTAGTTCTTACCCCAGGATTACAATGCGGTTGTTAGCCATCTTGCGTTCGGCAATGGATTAGAGATTCTTGGAAAGATGGTTCGTAAAAGACTCCAATGGCATAGACAGGCTTATAAGCAAGCACTCAGACATGAAGATAGAGAGATAGGAATAGGCATGAGTCAAGCCAAGGGGAGGGGATGTTGAGACACGATCCCCGTCAGTCAAATTAGTTATCGGAGGCCGATCCCGCCATTCTGATAAGACTTCGACTCCTCTTTTTCTGTCTTTTGCTCGGACCTCATTCGGCGATTACAGGTAAGGTACGGGCGGCTTCCGGTAACCACTAATGTATAATTGGTGTATATACGGTACAAAGTACCTAACGGAACGCGTCCCGACCGCGGCTTACCATACGGACCGGTCGACACACCCTTGCCCGGCGGTAAGTATAGGTCAGGATTTAGGACCCTGAATGAATTGTGACTTAGTGGGTATGAGAAGAAAGATGGATGATGATGTGCAGAAAGGCTGATCTGCCAACTTTGTTCAGGCCACTTCATCAGGTATGCCTGCATGTGCCGGAGAGATGTACCAGCAAAGCGCCAGGATCTGTCTGGCCTGACCGCTCCCGAACGAACAGATCCATTGTAAGCGCCGAGGCGACGGAGGGGAAGGTCTTTCGTCATCGGTGACAACCTCATACCCCCATTGCAGCCAATCACAGCAAACGTATTAGCTCACCGCCTCGTCCTCGGTAAGGAACGGGGCTGTAAGAGGGTAAGTTTTTCCTGGTAAGGTAAGTTAAGTAAGTTGATTCTGTAAGTAAACGGGGTTCCTCCGCACTCTCCGTCCGAACAAGAAAAGTCTCGCCTGTCTCTCTCGCGTGTAGATCGTGTGTTGCTTTTCTCTCCCTCTTCCCCCCCCCATTTATTCACTCTCTCCCCATTCTACTGCTCCAGAACACTCGGCTGTTCTTCTTTGACTATTGTGTGGCTCCCCACTTTTCCTATTGTCCCGCCTCTATTCTCCTCTGCTCGACGAGGCTCTTCTGTGTTCCCCTTGCGCCAAATGAGGGCCGTTCGTCGGGCAGGGCTATACATCAACCATGGCGGACGCTCCAAATGGTGGCAGAATCGTGCCTATAGTCACGACTGCCCGTCAACACTACTCCAGCTCTCCGACAGATGAAGCCATGGCCAAAACATCTTCACAGACGTCTCAAAAGGCCAAGATGCCTCGCAATGCACGCAACAAGACTGCAGAGGCGGAAACTCTGGAGATTCCTTGCCTCAATGCGCTAGGGCTCTATGCTCTCCCCACTGAGGGTGATGGTAACGTGCTCCCTGCCATTGGGCATCTAGCTTCAATTTAGACCTCAATTGGGTTAAAGAAGCATGCTCTCCAATCTATCTAACTCTGCATCGTAGGCAACTGCCTTTACTACGCGCTGTCGGATCAGACTTATGGGGATTTCACGCACGCCGACGAAATCCGTGATCGTCTTGCAGACCACATATCCGCCAACAAAGACTACTTCATGAGCTTCATAGCCGCAGCCGGTGGGGAGCGTCGAGCCCCTCGACGAGCTGCGGCTGCAGCCGCCCGACAATCTTATTGTTCCTCTTCGTCCGCTAGCCCGGCGCCTCCTTCAGCCAAGGATAAAGAGCGGAGCTTTGACTCCAAGGTGGCAGAGTCCCGGAAGAAGGGCGTATGGGGAGGAGCAGAGGAAATCCAAGCTTTCTGTCAGGCCTTCAAGAAGGACGTTCGCGTCTATACCATGTACGGCATTCAGAATTTCCGTGACGTTCACGCCCCTGAAGGAGAGGAACGCGACATCATTCATATCGCATTCCACGTAAGATACATTGCTATGATATCACTGTACAGTTGTCTAACGAGTTTAGGATTTTCACCATTACTCCTCTGTGCGGCATAACGATGGGCCTCGCACCGGTCTGCCTTGTATTCCCACAGTCGGTAAAGAGCAGGAAGCAGAGGCGTCAGCTGCTGAACCCACAGTTGTCGACATGGCTACCCCCTGGAAGATCTCTGCAATCCAAGAGGGTCTGGGGGGTAAGTATGATCAAGGCGCTATAGTAGAAATGCTACAGCAGTGCCGCGGCAATATTGACCGGGCGTTTATGAATCTCCTCGGCGAGGATAGCAATACGTCTCTGGCAGACGCGCCCTCGTCTAAGGCCATCATGAAGTCCCGCCTGCAAGCATCCTCGAGATCCTCTTCGCCTTTCAGCGTCGGCAGCAAACGTTCAGCAGATGAGAGTGACGCTGATGACAACCCTCAGCCAGCTGTCCGACGTACCCGGACTCGTGAGAGTAAAAGGCGCATTCTCCCTGATGTCATGGTCGGGATTGAATTTAGAGATGATCAAAATGATCTGGTCTCGTTGCGGTTGCGAGTCAGCCCAGACACTGTCGTTCCCAAGCCTGCCGTTCAGCCAAGCACCGAGCAGGCTGAGGCCAGCTCTTTCGAGTCTGCAACGGATAGTCCCAGTTTTTTGCCGCAGGACAGGAAGCTCAGAATCCGGTCAAAAACTGTTTCAAGTGAAACTTCTAGCATTCCGAACGAGTCCAGCGATGAGCGAAAGCCACCCCGACGAAGCCAGCGGATTTCCAGGACTCGTCCGGCCCCTAGAAGTGCTTGAAATTGCAACTCGCATCTCCCTTACTCTCATCTACACCTTATGAGAACATCAATTTCGATTCACCACAATTTCCTCAACGCATACGACATAACGACTCATCCTTCACCTTCGCTTTATTGCTTTCCTGATCATTGCATTACGAGCGCGTTGGGTGTTGATCATACTTTCCCGCTTTACCATTAGAGCATCTGTCGACATTCACATTTCTCTTCATTCCATACCACCGGCGACTTGGAGCACTTACGACCCAAACCATTTTCATCCCGCATATTTTCACCATCTTCAAAGACATAGTCAATGACGACTTTTTGACTTGACTTACACGCGAAGCACACGACACACATACCATCTACATCTTCATGAGGCGTTATTGGACGGTTGCACATTGCATAAATCCCGTGAGATTTCTAACTTGCATACATGCATTGGGTCGGTGCACCTTTCGGAAAAGTTACCTTCTCATCCATTGATTTGGCCTGGCGGTCTTCTGGAGAATACTTTCGTATTCGGATGATTCTGCTGGTTATACTGCTGCACGGATTACAATGTCTTTGATAGAAGGAATATTTGTCAGCCAAACACACTATCTTGCTTGATAATACCGGCTATTGCAGAATAGACTGGTAGAAGTCCATTATTTCTTATTCCTGGACTGTTCTGTGGCTAGTTAGCTATTCTACTAGCGACTATGATTGAGCCGATGAGACTCAGTTGCCACGAAAATAAAGGCACAATACTCGACCATAGCACATTGTTCCACCTCTAGTACATAGGCTTGTAGACAGTATCCAGTGTACCTCTTAAGCCAATATACCGAAATATACCAACATCATGAAAGATACATAGTAACCTAAATAGCAATACCAAACAAGCCCAGTGCCCATCAGCCAAAACTCCTTAAATACTACGTCAGACATTATCATCTGCATACTCACACAAGAAAAAACAAATCCAAGCATCTCCCTCTCTGACTAAACATCAAGCAAACAAGATGCAACGCAATCGTCAACAAACGCTACCCAACACAACAAGGTCCCTTAGCCATACAGCCCATACTATACTAGACTATACCTACATCTGAAGCCCAAACGAACCCAACTCACCATACATAATGACAGACAGTCAATCAGGCACCAAAATCCCCACCCCCTCTCCTTTCCCGAAACATGCACGCACACACACACACAACACCTACGTAGTAACGTCTTCTCCAATGACCTTCCCTATCGAATGTTCACAGCTATCAATTACACATAATAATCAAAACTACCCCTCCTCCTCCTCATCCTCCTTCATCCTCTCCTGCACGATCCCCACTTCACTCTCCACCAGGTAGCCATATACTAACTAACTATTACGTAGTACTTTAGTGTGTAGATGGCGGACCAATAACCAGCTACTTATAACAAACCCAACAATCTTCCATGTCACCTGAAGCTTGGATTATATAGCATATTATAGAGGTACTACTCTATCAATTCCTCGATGGTCTAACGGTCATGATTTCCGCTTGTCAATCCCAGTTTGGGAACAAGCGCGGGAGACCTGGGTTCGACTCCCAGTCGGGGAGATTCTTTTGTTTTTCTCCTCTTCCTTTTCATTTTTTTTAAGGGGAGATTGAATGTTGGTTAGGTTTAGTATGTATGTATAGAGTTTTACTTTTGGTTGGTAGTTACTTGTGGGTATTTGATATGATATGTAGGAGGTTGGTTTATGATTATATTTTATTGAGAAGGGTAGAAAAATATTATGTTGAGCGTAGTTGATGGTATTAGGAACCATGGGATGGGAGGCTGGTGGTTTTTAATGAATGCTTAGGAGTATTCATTAGGAGAGATCTGCATTCTGTCGCTCATTGTATGATTAATGTATGTATAGGATAACTAGTAGATACTGTCTATATGTACATGACGGAAATGACGCCAGAGTGGGTTCTTCAATTCGCTAGTGTGTGGATGTCAAGAAATAAAATAAAGAGAGAGACATGTAGTCTGTTTGCTGAGTGAGGACATTGTGGTACGATATGATCGTTTGACGGGCGTGAAGTCGTGAAGAGATGTGTGTATATTCGTGTTGCCTGCTGGTCCATGCTATGGCCTTCTGGTCAACCCCTTTTAATCTGTTTCGTGGGGGAGGGCGGCCCTGCTCTTTTGCAGCCGGATGTCTCCAGAGGCCGCGTGCAGGCTCACTTCATTCTGTGTGCATATCTGGCGCACACGTGTATCTGATGGAGGACCTATCCTCCGAGGTTTCGCGTATCCCTCTTCTGGGTGAGAGCTAGGCATCTGGCTCAGAGCAGTGTGAGTTGAATATTCTAATCTCATTTTCATCCTGTGGCCATTGAGCTCCGGGCCACCGAGCTTCGAGTAATGGCTGTATCTGGTCGCAGGCGAACACCAGGTGAATAGCAAAGGTTGTAGAGTTCATCCACATAACTGCTGGTAGCCAAGTCACCAGCAACAACGGTGGCGTGCGAAGCATGTTTGGAAGAATCCAGTGATCGCGTAGATAGCTTAGCGACGTCCACCTTGACCTCCTTGCGGACCATGATATCGCCCAACTGCGAGAGCTCCGTCAGCGTTTCCTGCGAGAGATCCCCATGGGCGGGATCTATATGCTTGCGTGGCCAGAGTTTCAGAACAGAACGGATGGAAGGTGTGATGTCGGCTTCCGTGGCGGAGCTACTGCGCGCATTTGAATAGTACAGTTCCCTGCCTAGTTCTTTTGCAAAGCCGTCGCCTCCGATATTCGTGTCGTTGAGTTGCTGCTGTGCGCGGAAGAGGCGTAGAGGCATGAAGGTAAAGTCTGGGTTTGAGACTTGAGTATCTAGGTTTCCAACAGCGCAGAACGGTAGTAGAATAGAGTTTGACGCATCAGAATCAGATAAAGCCCGGCAAGGGGCGATAAGAGGTCTGGCGGAGAACTTCGAGGCCATGTTGATATCGGGAGGAAGTGCGCTTTCTAGCGATGTCATTGCATGGATCAGTTGCTCGCGGAAGTCATCGATCTCCTTGTTTGACTGGGCCGCTTCGGATTTCAGCCAAGACAAGCAGGTCGATATGGTCCATCCTTCCATGTGTGAGATCAAATCGAGGTGCTGAATGTTAATCCGTTTGATCGGTAGTGTTGATGAAGGCAATGGGTTACCGGTTCCCTTCGCTGTTAGTACCTCAAAGTGGTCGGAAATAGTAGGGCGCATAACAAAGGAAACGAGGTGGACGCCCGGCTCGTAATTGCGGCCTCCGGTCGCGTAATCTCGCATGTCTTTAAGATGCTCGCCCAACACAGGCAGCGGAATGTGCATCCGGCTCGACAAAGCTGATGTGACGTTCTCAATCGTGGTGAAACGGAAACCTGCGGCGGCCAGTCGATTCGCTTCCTGCTTGTCCAGATGACGAACTGTGAAAAGCATCTGTCCCTTGCTATTGTTTAACCGAGAGTATCCCATTGCCCGAGAGAAGCGCGAGGTCGGAGCAGTCGTAATTAGCACATCATCGTATAGCTTTCCGAGCGCCGGCAGAGGCTGTCGAACCTCATCGGCGAGATCCTGAGCGGTAACGCAAAAGTGTCGCTTGAAGAGCTCGTCGAAATCGTTCTGTAGCTCATTTTCCTGATCCAGGGCCTCGCCCTTGGCAAGAAAATGCTCCGTGGCCTCCTTGTCTGTCTCGATCCGACTTCTCATGAAAGGCACAACATCCTTGACAAGATTCCAGTGTCTACTCGCTCGGTACGCCCAAAGGAAAGCGGGATGGCTTCGGGTAAGATCGTCATCGTTGAACGTCTATAGGGGTTGGGAAACTCCTGCATCAGCACAAGTCGGAAGTGGACTAGGTTGTGAACATACTTTGCCAACATAACGATCAACAATCTTCCGGCTAGGAAGCAACGCGTGAGGAGTGACCATGATTCGTCCGGACTGGTCAAAGAAGGCACAAGTCAAGACGAGCTGTCGAGCTTGTATGTTCAGTCTTCTCCGGTTTCCACCAGCAACTACGGCACACGCCGTCAGGACTCCGCAAGCAGCGCAGGCCTGTAATCCGTTAGCATCCGCCATTTCGGTACCTCCTGGAATCCAACCTACCAAAACAGAACTGATAATGACAACTTGGCTCCGCGAAAGCTGACCATTATGCTTCATGGTTGTGTCATGATTGTAGTAGTATGTGCCGACTGCAGCAGTCCAATGCATGCCAGAGACAGCAAGAGCAAGGACACAGCCGCAAATACCACGTCGCCACCAACTATCTGTCCAAGTGGCCCTCCACCGAAAGAAGACCGTCAACGCAACAGTACTAGCAAACACCGCAATGATGGTGGCACCGATGATGTTTGCAAGACGGTAGCTACAGCGGTAGTTGCTGATACCGAGCTGGCCGATATAATGCATACCACATACTGCACCACCTGTAAGTATACCACCCGTCAGGATTCGGACATAACCGGCTTTCTCGCTGGCTCCTATGCTGTAGAAGGCAACGAGCAAGACGACAACCGGGAGCACGAAAGATACGCCCGTAAACGTCATGCTATAAATGATCTGAAGTTGCGCATCCCCGTTTCCTAGAACAATGGCACGGTTTCCAATGTAATGCATACACCAGATACCGACACCGCCCATTGTTATGGAGGAGGTGAGAAGTAGATACCTATATATACGGTTAGATGGATGCTTGTTGTTATCAGGCAGTGGGGATAGCGTACCAGTTGTACAGACCAGACCTCGACGTCCGTCGGTGCAGAAGCTCCAGAGTGGTTGTACATCCCATCACACTGACTACGTAAGCCAGAAAGATGAACCCTCCCATGTAAGACACATGGACATTGTCCCCGTGGGGAGCCCTGTCCGTGAGCAACATTCTCGGCGTGAGAAGCTTGTTAAAACCAGATATTACCCGCAAGACATCGGCATGGAGAAGATGATAGAAGAACCCTCACTGCATCTGCGAACATACAACACTGGGGAAGTTACACAACAGCAGCAACGGGGCGTTGCATGAGGGGGGCAAGAACAGAGTAAGCCTGACAGGAGCAGGCTTAATTAGTACCATGCGGGAATTCTTTTTAATATAACAATGGCATTCAGCTTCCAGGAGCTCCACGCGGCTGGCCCGTACTACGTACTAGCCACGATTCTCCAGGTACCAGATTGACGGACCGTAATGCAATCAAGGACGTTAATTTATCGAGCAGACTAAAATGTGTTATGTCCGAGTGGGAACCGCTTATTGCCCTTCGGTGGCCGCAGACCCTTCATTTTTCACGTTGGCGGTACGCGTCCAATTTGTGGACGAGGGCCCCAGAATGAGGGTCTGGCGCTCTTCCAGCGTTTACATTGGGCAATGTAAATTGTAATATCCAGTCTCCTTCCAAGATGTATCAGAGTCTGCTCCGTGTCTGATTGGATCAGAACCATCGATCGAGGTTGCACCCAGGAACCATGGGGCATTGAGTTTACCGGATCGGTTCCAGACTTGCAGCCTAGGTCGGCGAGTCAGAAACATGACTGAAGGGCCGAAGGCTATGATCAGATTAGTCCAGGAAACTAAAATTCTTCCCATCTGTCAAAGTCGGTTATTACTTGTCGACCAGATGGGTCTACTTTTGTGGTTCTCGGCGGATAAGGACCGCTAAAGCCAACCCTGGCGGACAAGGGCCAAGAAGGTTCAGCTGCGCCGCCTGGCTGAACCTTCGCTCTTCTCCGAAGATAAACATGCTTTGCACAATAGGTGAGCCACGCAGGACAATTTCATAGCTCAGGAAAGACTATTAGGGAAATTGAAAGATTATTACGTATCAGGATACCAAGCGTCTAAACTTCCCCTAATGGCGAGAAGACCGTCAGCACGTCCTCTGGAACTCCGTCGGCTAAACCTCCTCGTGCCACTAATACGTCACGAGTCCTCAACTTAGGTAGCAACTATCCAGAGGGGGGGCGCCATGTTGTACCGTCAGTAGATGAAACTCAAGGCGGAACCAGACAATCAGAACCGAGCACCATGATTGATGGTAGACTCCGAGTTGAGATTTTCGACGGGATCAAAAGAACAGATTTTCGCCAACTGCCAGCATCCACGCGGTTGACAAAGACCCTGAGTGGTCAGTGGACGCAGCGGCGGGCTTAGCTCGGGGCACGTCCATTGGGAATCATGCGATTCACAGGCGTGGGTAAGACAATCAATCAATCTCTCGCAGTGGAACTGAGAAGGGCGAGCTGGAACCCAACGGATGGGACCAAATGGAGACAAGAGACCATCGGTAGGACGTTTTGAAACCTGAGTCTTGGACCGTTGGATAAGCTGAACGTGGCCGAGTGGGAAGGAAGAGAGGGGAGGATCCAGGCGGAGGGTCGGAGATGCACTCCCGTTGGACCATCACACGCTCACTAGGCCTGTTCGGGGTTAGGCCGCTGCCCGTGACTCAGATCGTGGGTTCAATCTCTCGATTGGCCAGTCCCGATCTGGCTAGCTGGCCGAGCATGATTCCGCTAGTCCGTTTGTAGTCAACCACCCACACACGCTGAGAGATCCTCTTCTGTAAAATCTGTAAGCGATGCCATCTCGTCTCTGGCACTCAAATCAATATATGCAAGTCGGGCCGAGGAGGAAACTGGGAAGTGTCAAACTCTAAAGGATGTATTTCCTTATTTTTGTGACCAGAATCCTTGGTAGGATACTATAAAGTTAAACAGACGGAGTGCCCAACCCTTTCAGGTCAACAATGATGCTAGATACTACTTAGTTTTAGTCCAGGCTGAACTCTAATAGAGTCAGTGGAAGTAGTAGGTAGGGTACTTTTGCCTCCGTGGAAATAGTAACAAATCAATATGGATCCAGCTTGCGAGCGTCTTATCCCGTCAGCAGCAGCAATAGCAGCAAGAGAACGCAACAACCAATTGATTGTTCGCCAAATCCTTCCGGTAAACCCCTGCCGGATATTCCCCCCTACTAACCTTACTGCGTAAGCGTCAGAACTCAATGGTCGATTCGCCCCTTGTGTTGACTATCTACATAGTATACATCAGGATGAATTTCTGTTCTCAAGTATTCCACCGCAAATTTTTCCTTATAACCGAGCCAGAAATCAAAAGCCCGCTTAAGTTTGGATTTCACGGGAAGTAAATTATCCTCCCGAACGACCCGCGAAAAAAAAAACAAAAGAGAGAACCAAACAATCAAGTGATTGATAACCATGGAAGGGAATGTTTCCAATTCCATAACCATTCCATAGAAACAGCCCTGACCCACTGTAAGCCATATCAACACACAGTAGCACAAGCATGAGCTTGCAGCAGCCAGCCAAATCAATGAATTCGTCACCCTTTTCCGGCTTGTTGCTGACAGCACTGGCGTTGCCGCCCAAGTGATCGGATCCTTTCACTCCTCCATCGCATTTGTAGACCTACTATTGAGGTATCCAGGAAGATCCTCCATCCTTCTACAGCCCCCAAGAATCATAACCCAGGATGCGGAAACAGCCCCAGACCACATACATACATCCTTTTCTCTCCGCGATCAACACACGCTTCGATCATGCAATCCTGCGTATTCCGGAGTACCTCGGCCTCACTCCTATGCGGTACAGCCGAGCTGCAGCTGGGCTAGCCAAGTCCATGAGTAGATTAATTCATATGACAGCCAATATCACCTAATTAATTTATTGGGCACGTGCGTCACTGAAGCTCTTTTCTGTTGCATAATAGGGTGTAGCCGCGGTAGGTATTCCGCAGTTTCAGGGGATGAACAATAGAGTAGAAGGGGGGAAGCACAACAGTACAGCACCGCATAACCCAGGACAGGGTAGTGAAGATGAATTCATTAGGGAAGTGGCTGTGCGCACAGTGCAGGTGTAGCTGAATGATGGAGCCGTGAGCCGTGTTGAGGTGGTACTCTGGCCCACTCCTCTGGGAATCCTTTGGTGTGCCGAAAGATGTCCGCACTCGGACGGGGCTAATGCGGTAGTTAAGCCTGATAAGGTAGATGAAGTAGCAAACTTTGAAGAGTTTTGGTAGGGAGTGTTTCTGATAGGAAAGGACGTGGGATGACAATATTTTCGGCGTAGATGAGGAAATCGATATGTAGTATTTCCGTAGACCACACCCACTTGTGACATCTGCACGTGTTAATTGCCTTGTCAATGCGTCTAGCCGGTACCTTGCATGAACTTTTCTCCGCATTGACTATTTGCAGCCTTGGATAAGCTTCTGATATATCTCAAACGATCGCTATATTATAACATCTGTGTAATATATGTGGTACCCCCAATCGATAATAATAATATGGTTCTTGGATCCAGACTTGACCAAATGCTTGGGAGACCTGCAACTGACTCGAAGACCCAGTTTTGTTCAGACCGCTTCGTTGGCAATGATTAATCGGGGAGGCCAGCTTCAATGCCAGCTGTCTTATCTAATCGGGATTTCATTCCACTGCATTGTACCTACTGAGGGGTAGAGCCTAAACTGTACTTGTTGGTCAAGTGTCAAATCTTTCACAGCAACTAACCAAGCCCTTCCTGTGCTCAATCGGGAGCTGCTCAGTAGCCGATGACAGTGGAGTCATCTCACTCCAAGTATTGCGTGGACGTAGAGCCTTCTTGGGGGGGGG